GACTTTTTGGTATGTGTCATGCTAGAGGCTAAAATCTCAGAAAAATGCCTATAATTCTACTCAGAAGAGCTAAGGGGATCTAGTTTTTTGGGACTTTTCATAGCTCACTAGGATCTACGTGTTGGAAAGAGCCCGAACTTAAAAACGATTTGACAGTTGGCGATGCTCCCTCGTCAGTAGAATTAGTCATTCCAATGAAATTGACGCAAAGGAAGATGAACCAATCACTAATATACAGATAGCAGAAGAAAAAGTTCGAGTTGATCTTCAACAACTACTTTATTAAAGGAGAAATAAGAAGAAGATATCTATCAATGCGGTAGTAGATAGTCTTTAAAATCATCGAACATTGCATAATTAAACAGAATTTCGAATATTATTGCAGGCAACTGTGACGGTTAATATAGTAGAAAATGACAATGTATCCACGGTTACACATTTGATTACAGTCTAAATTATGAACAAAAATGGGTGTGGACGTAGGACTTCTTGTAATGTAAATTGAAATTCACACCTACGTCCTAATGATCTTTGGCTTTCCTCTTTTCATTTCAACTGTCTAGGGCTTATTTGGGCAGCCGTAAAAACCTCGATTTAAACTTACAATCACTGTTTTCTGAAAAATTATATGAGAGTTCTACAAAAAAAAAAAAAGAAATATTGTTTTTTTATGAGACCTGACAACAATGATGAAAAACAATCAAAATAATTCATTATTTTCAGTTTTGCTTTATTCAACTAGCAAGTAAAAATGATTTCGAAGTGATCAAAGTTTTGTTGTAAATTAAATGTAATCTGAAAAAAAAGAACAATCAGCCTTTAAAAATAAACAGTTCTACTTCAAATGAAAAGAAAGACAACAAGATTCAATCTGTTTCATAGTGAATCCACTCCATAAGAAGGTTTCATTAATGTTATTTCAATGTCTGATTTGTTTTATTTTGAGAAATGAATAAACATCAAAAGAAAAATTTGTTTTTTTTTCAACTTCAAAGGCAAATTCAGTCGGTATTTTATTAGGCAGTAGAAGAAAAAGAAATTCATTTTGAATACTTTTTTCGCTTGCGCATTGAGAAGAAATTATGCTATTTGTAGTAGTTTTGTTTTTCAATGTCTTCATTTCATGTGTACAGGGTTTGCTGGTTTTTTACTTCTAATTTCAGCCTTTCATAGTATAAATAATGTTTAGGTCAGACTACATCAGAATCTAATGACTATTGTTATGAAAATAATGATGTTATCCAATTTACATTGTCCTTGTCATCTCATTCTGCATGGCAACCAACATTCAATTGTTCTTTACAACTGTGTCACGTAAACACCAATTACAATAACAGCTGCCGTTCGTCATCAACACGTTGCTTTGATTATCGTACATTTAACAATACTAGTTATTGTGCACCCGGCGCTCTATGTTCTATTTTGGAAGCATGTAACAATATTACTAATAAGTGTGCATCAAATACTTCCGTATGTGTTGTTAATTCGTGCTGCTCACCACAAGCAGTATGCTTACCATTATCATTGATAAATATCTGTACAACAGGTAGAAACATACTCTCCTCAAATATGTGAGGGTGTAGGAACTAATCAAAGTACTGAATCTAGATTCTAGTTGAGACTTCATTCGATTTTATAATTTTATGATAGTTCCTTTGTTTTCGAAGTAATGTTTACTGATAATCTCGTAGACTCTATCTTCCTGATATCTTTATTGAATTTAATTATAATCCGAATTGTTTGAAGATAGCATTCTGTACTAATAATGGTTTAGTACAGGTAAAGAAAAATTATATAGGAGTACTCAATCGAATATCTCGTTTATACTACTACGCATTTTGCGTCCATTTAAATATACTCTTATTGAAAAGTGATTTATTCGACTATGTCATTTATTCATGTTATGTTTTTCTAAGTATGTAAATCATTCAAAGTAAAATTTAAAAGAAAAATACGTGTTGACTTGAGTTCGTTTGAGAAATACGTTCACATCTATCCTTTACATACCAGCAGTTACTTTGCATCCATCCATCTTGATCTGTAATATTATTAAGTTAACTTTGATATCTGTATCAGCTACTAGGCTGATACTTGAATTGATTTTGTTCTTCAGTGGACACATCTCTCGAACTTTTTTTCAATGATGGTTCACTGTTAGTAAGTTATGATCAACAGTTAACGAAACATCTGCTTCTTAGAGTGCCTAGTTCACAAAATACTTAGGAGTCAGATGGAGGAGAAAGACATTAGAAATCGGTGAGACTTAGGGAAAGTATTTCCAGCTAACTTCTTGTTTTACCTCGACTGGAAACAGCCGCAAATTAACGACCCAGACTACTGTGTTCAAGTTTCATCGGTTTTCGATGTATTTCTGCTCGATGTAATGAATTTTCTGCTTTTTGTCTGTTCGGTTCTTCATCTTGATAATAGAATGACTAATTCAAAGTGAAAATCCTCATCGAGGGTGTGGGTGTTGTTCTCTTCTTACACCCACGCCCACACCCACACCCACCCCACACTCACACCCCACACCCACACCCACACCCCATACCCACACCCACCCACACCACCCACACACACCCACACCCACCAACACCCACACCCCCACACTCACACCTACACCCATACCCACACCCACACCCTTTTTTGTTGACGACTAATGGTCTTGTGCTCTTTATCTTGAATATTTTACTGTCAGCACGTGTAGTCCTTTCAAACAGAGTGTGTAGATAAAAAGTATTGAAAAAGAAAAACGAAAAAAGACAAGAGGAAAAAAGAGATCGAAATGTTGCCATGATACAAGATAAGAAAAGAATTATTTGATACATAACGAACTCGTTTCACTTAAACAACACTCGACCAAGTTGGAAGAAGCCGTCAGCAAAATTGACTCGGTATGGTTGATTTTCATTATTTGACTTTAATAGTCATCTTATTAAAAGGATTTCTAAGATTGGAAAGAGAGTATTTCAAACGTCATAAACAGAGCAACATAGAATACCACAAGTAATAAGATTTCGAAGAAAAAGCCAGATATACAAGTTAATTCAAGACTTGATTTCATCCAATGTTCGAAGTAGTTTCTCTAGTTATTTGAATAAAATCTGATGGGTTCGAGTCACTAATTCTTCTAGAGACAATGTAGTACTTCAGTTTTAAGAAAACATAACATGTGAAATTCATACAGATTATTGAGTTTCTATCGGTAACAACTCCTATTTTAGTCTATCCAAGGGGAAAATCATGAAATCCTAAAATCTTGAATTCTCATGAATACCAAGGTTTACCTATTAGTTTTTAGCATTCAAAGGATTCCTCAGAATTCCCTATGATTCCTCAGGATTCCTCGCGATTCTCTGGAATTCCTCAGGGTTTCCTATGATTCTATGGAATTCTCTTGAAAGGGTGTGGGTGTGAATATGGCGCGGGTGTAGCTTTTCTATTGTCCATGCTCACATCTACACCCACACTCGCGCCCTCTTTGTTGCTTTTTATCGAGATTAATCACGTAATTCATATTAAAAACTTTCTAAAAGCATTCTAAGTCGTTGCAAACGTGTCAAGTTTTGTGTCTAAATCTAATGCTTGATATTTGTTAGATACATTTATCAGATAATAGTTGATTTCTAATGGCGAGCCAACCAAGAATTAGTGATATGCCTGTGTCAGGACGAAAATTAGCACTTGTAATTGGCATATGGAACTATCAGAATGAGAAGGTTCGAAAATTAACAAATCCCGGAAATGATGCGACAGATATAACATGTGTATTAGAACGTATTGGTTTTTCTGTAACAACAAAATTGAATTTAACATATTGGGATATGGCCAAGATTTGTGATGATTTCAGAAAGATAATACAACCAGGAGACATGGTGTTATTTTATTATGCTGGACATGGCAAGCAATGGAAAGTAAGTACTAGGATACATTTCTATGTCAAGATAGTTCTTATTTTTCCAAATGAGAGCTTCTTTTATGGTACTTTTAGGAGCAAAATTATCTATTACCAATAGATTTTGACGATGCAGAGAAAAACTTAAACAAAAATGCAATTCCAGTGCAATCCATACTCTATGACTTCAGTGATCGAGAACCATTCGTAACGATATTTTTATTGGACTGTTGCCGAGAATATCACGCACGCAATGATAATATCGATACAAATGCACGTGGCGTAAGTAGCAGTGACTCTAAATCATCTGGTCTCAAAGCAATGAATGCACAAGCTGGATCGTTAATTGCATTTGCTTGTGCTCCTGGAGCTATTGCCAACGAAGGTGAGGGTGAACGAAATGGCTTATTTACAAAATATCTTCTTAAACATCTTCCAACGCCTAATGAAGATATTCGAATGGTCTTAGCTGATATTACTAAAGAAGTAATGATAAAATCAAATACAAAGCAGATTCCATTTCTAAGTGCTGCATTAATACAGAGAAATATATATTTATGTGGTCAACCTCAACGTAAGTAACTTTTTCTGCTTCTATTCTTCCTGATCGATCGAAAATATTATTCATTTAAAATGAAACCTGGGTTATCAAAGACTTGAAATATTATATTTACTGCTAGCTATAGGAGGAAGACAGGATATTATGTCACCAGAGCACTATGTGCTAATAAAGGTCTGTTTTCAATTTTCTTTTATGTTCAAAGAACAAATTTTATTTCTTTATGATTCTGAAGTTTATATCAAACTCGATCATTTCATTATAAACATTTTCATTTTTACGATGGACTCGTCTATTGGAACTGTCGCCTTATGAAATATGTCTTTTATATTTAGATAAATCACATGATTTTATTCAAATAGCCGACAACGATCTAGAACTGCACGATGAGATTGGTACCGGAGCCTTTGGCACAGTATACAGAGCTGCATGGAGAAGTAGACACTATACTATTGCTGTTAAAAAGTTACATCTGACTCATTTGACAGTTAGAGCTGAGAAAGAGTTTTTTAAAGAGCTTACATTAATGCACAGCATTCATTGCCCTTATATTATTAACTTTTATGGTGCATGCACAGAAAAAGGAAAGTATGCATTGGTTATGGAATACATGTCATTAGGATCATTGTACAAGGTATTGCACGAAGATGAACAGGCGTTTACATGGCCTGAACTATTGTCGATTGCTTTGCAAGCAACCAACGGAATCAATTACTTGCATCAATTGCCAGTGCCTGTCTTACATCGTGACATAAAATCGTTGAACTTCTTGATGGAGAGAGCCTATCAAGGGTACACTGTCAAAGTGTGTGACTTTGGTTTGGCTCGAACACGAAATGAAACGACACGTCAAACAAAATCTAATCATACATATGCTTATACACTGCCATGGACTGCTCCTGAAATACTTCGCTTGGAAGAATATTTAGATAAAAGCGATATTTATAGTTTGGGAATCATTTTTTGGGAACTGGCAAGCAGAACAATACCTTATTATGATCGTCAAGATGATGTCATTCGTGCATTCGTACTTGCTGGTGATCGCTTGAAGATACCCAAAAGTGCTCCATCGAGCTTTTGCGATGTTATTAACAAATGTTGGGCACAACAGCCGAATGATCGACCTAACAGTTCTGATTTGATCGAAATGATTGAAAGGTGTATTCAGGCTCAAGGTAATTCCTTTTTATTCTTTAACTACTATGACGAAGGGTGGTCAATTGAAGGTGAGGATGTGAAAATTGAAGCCTATCATCAATGTGAACCAATTACCTCCATTGAAGTCCGATTCCTTGTTCGATTTCCCTTGTAGTAGATGAATTTTTCATATTCACCTACGACCAAACCCATTCCTGAATTTGAAGACTTTTAATCTTTGTACAAATAGTTGTCAGAATCCGCCTTTGGAATTCGTGGGCGGTAATTGAAATGGTTACCTACATTCCATCCACACCCACACCCATCATGACTATCACTGTATCAATAATAAAAAAAAAACTAAAATCAGCTAGTAGTTAGATATCCAATTGTAAGACTGAGTTTAGTTTCAAGACCAGTTATTATACGCATATAATTCTTTCATCATTTCAAATCTACCTTCATGAACAGTGTCTCTCGTTAAAACTTCATGTCATTCCACCTATTACATTTCATTCTTCAAGATGAAAAATCTATATTGAACAAAAACTAATGTCATCAACTAATTCCAGTAACTTTTGTGAATCTAAAATAGTTTTTTCTTAAAATTCTTTGAAACGATTTTTTTCTATATGTGCTCTCATTAATCAAATCTTAGAAATTTAATTATGAACTTCATTCACTTTATTCAAAACTACAGAAGTTGTCAATTTTAAATAAACTGAAAATTTATCACTATTTTATTTTTGATTAAGGGGAACACCAGCCCCTCTCTCGTAAAGTGCTGCTTTTATTTGACCAGCTAATAGAGACAAAAGCACTGTGTATAATCTGAAATTTCCTTGAAAGACTAATTTGTTTTGTTGAACTTATGACTTCTCATGAATTATGTGTCTTTTCAAGTATCTGACTCGTATGAAATATTAACGAATTTCCCAATAAAAACTTTTGAACTTATGCGTAATAGGTTTTATGAGGGATAGAAATTGTATATACTCCTAAATTTTCGCTATCATTACATGAGTATTTCCAGAGAAATATTAACTTTTTTTATGTAAAACTTTGTCTGCCGTTATGATTAAAAGATGCGCCATTAGATCCTGTCTATAATACTGAGTAGATTAGAACTTTTATTTTGGTAAGAAAATCATTGAAAAAAAAGTTTGTACATGTTATGAACATCTTCAAAAATCTGAGATTGCCTCTTTTTACTTAAGGTCATTTTGAGAGTTTTTTACTACAAGTTAAACGAGTGTTTCAATACTTTATGTTATTCAGAATGGAGGAAATTTTCTTGTTTCTGTGATACTTTTTATGGCTTGATTGAACTCGTTGAGCTCTAAAAAGTTGTGTATGTAAAAAAATTTTTATACGCTGTTTTAGAAAAAAATGAAAAAACTACTTGAAAAATGTTGAAAAAACTCACATTCTTTATATGAAAGAGAAATATTCAAGTCGTTTCGAATTGATTTCACTTTTCTCATATTGTCCATTGCTTAAGAAACTTGGAAATAGGTAATTCCATAGCAGAATCAGACAAATGTTAAACATACCAACTTACTCATCAGTACAAATCGACCTGATTACAGCCTAAATCCTTTATCCATTATGCTAGAATTTTATGTCATTTTACTTATTATATGATGAAGAAAAAGAGTAACCTATCCGTTTTTTTCTCTAGCTAGATATTCTCGAACAAATGCGCCTCAGTATTTAATACTCATAAGTGAAAATGAATGTGAGCTTCAGTGTGAACTTTTTCATATTGTTTATTAGTTGTCTGAGGTTTCTTCAAGATCGTTTTTTTGAAAAGCTTTGACTATCATGAGTTTTTAGACCATCGTGTCAAGGAGTCATAGAATATTTGTATTCAAAATACAAGTAATTTACAACTCATTTGTAAACCAAATTTGTCGTTAGAGAATATGTTTTAGCAAATATAACTAATGGAACTTTTCGAGTATCTTATAGCAACACTAAATTGTATGTTTTTTTTCATCCTTCTTACAGTTGTTTATTTTCCATTTGTATAAGACACTAAATTCTTCGTTTTGATAAATAAATGTTACTAAAATATTTTCTCTAACAATAAATCCACTTTGTGAATAATTCTAAATAATTCGAATCGGTTCGATGAAATTGTTACCGATACAATCATCTTTTAACTGTATTTGTAATAACAAATAGGCTTTGGTGATCTTTTTTGCTTGTTTTGATGTTTCGTTTCGTAGATGGTATGCTGTAGGAAGAAGGATTGAGTATGAGTGTGAATAATGAGGAATCAAACACTCACACCCAATGATATTCTGGATTGTCCATTTTCTAATACCGTTTTCATTCCTGCATTTCTGAAGAAATGTGACGCAGACAACGGAACTAAAACGTCCTAATACAAAACAACATTGCAATTCAGAAAACTTTTAAATTTTCGTGAAACAATTTATGTATTATAACAATAATTTAAGAGTTCGAAATTATTTATGTTGTGAAAAAATTAATGTAAGCAATACAAGCGTAGACTATATGACAATTTCGATATTCATGACAGTGGTATCTATTACTGCCTAAAACCTCCTTGAAGAAGTTTTGGACAACTAATAGACCAGATGAAAAACTTTTTGATTGAAGTTTACACTGGTTTTCACTTATGAGTAATCAATGTTAAAGTGTATTTATTCGATAGCATCTAGCTAGAGAAAAAAACGGATATGTTACTTTTTTTCTTCATAATATGTCAAGTATAAGGATAAAAACTATTATTATAAAGGACAAAGATAACGATTGTGGAATCATTTTAGGCAGTACGAGTTTCTGAGATATTGGAAAAATAATATAATCAAAATTTATTCGAAAAAACTTGCATGCTTTCGCTCAAGATTCTAGGTTACATACAGTATTTAAAACTGAATTTTAATGAAAAAGAAATAATAGATATGATCAGACATCTCTTGTTAGAACTCACATGCAAGTTTTCTAAAAAGGTATGCAGAAAAATTTCTTCAGCTTTCATAATTTTGGCAAATTGCACGACAGTGTAATATTATCTATCTAAAAAACTCAGCTTTCTATAATTAGAAAAGTGCTGCTAAATTTGATGGAACATTGAAAAGTAAAACTGGAATAGAAGAGTACTCAAGTTATTCTTGTCGGATTAGGATCAGCTAGTACTAATACCATGTGCAATCTATAAGATAAAATTTAGAACCATCAATTAACAAGTCTTAGAAATATGATCATTTTTGAGTGTACCTTATTTCATGTAACATTGAGGAAAAGTTCAATATCTCCAGATGCAAAAATTGAAATTGCTTAGGTATAATGTGAAATATATTTTTCATGCAAAAGTGATTCACAATTCTATAAAAAGTAGTTGAAACTGTTCCTCTGTATGATACCATATATTATTCCCAGAAAGTAGAAAACAACAAGAAGACAAATTATTTAATATTGAAATCGGGTAACTGAATTGTCATGAATCAGTCCAATAAATAGAAAGCAGCTCAAATAGTAAAAATTAATACTTAACTGTTTGTCTTTTGCCAAGAGAGATAGTTTTCATCAGTTGTTTAATTCAAGTTTCAATTTAAATGAATTTTCGATAGTTTACTGCTGATTAGTTTTCACAAATTCTTGAAATTCTAATTCTATCAGATAATTCAAAGAAAACTCGATCTCTTACTGTTCCCAGTTTTTTTTCATGTAGTCACAGCCAGAGATTTGCACAGAACAGGAAAAAATCTCTGTGTCCTGGAAACTCCAAAGAGTCGATTATTTATTAAAACCAATTGATATGTATTATTTCGAAGATATTTTTTCGAATTACGTGCAGAAGTAGGTCAAATATGACTATCCAACGATCTCTAGAACTATCATATATCAATGAAAAACCAATATGCTAAGAAAAAGAGAGAAATAACATTGAAAAAAAAAAAAGAATAACTGTAATAGAAATACATTTCTAAGTGTTGCTCAATCTTTCTCTACTATTGATCAAAGTAACGTTAAGAATTTCTCTCTCTCAAAATATTTCTAATGCTGCAGTTACTACATTATATATCGTCAATCGATTATAGCTAGAGGCACTAAAAATACAATAAATATACTTTGTTTTCTTTACTAAATTTATCTCTCTAATCTCAAGTAAAAAACCGCTAAAACTAACGTATAAAATTCGATTCTTTATTATAAGAATTAGAGAAATCTTGTCGTGACTATCATTAATTATTGTAAACCATGAGTCTTTCTTATTTAAATTAACTTTTTACTGTATTCTTAATAGATTGAGAGTTATAAAAGATTTACTTGATTCATCATGATTATTGATAGTCATAGTCATAAAAACAGATCGATTAGTCAATACTGGATTTTGATATTCGTAAATTTATGCGAATCATAATCAATTTATCGTTAAAGATAGAATAAAACATTTAGACTCATATTTTCTCTCTTGACATATCCACATATCTTCAACTGCATTTATTGGAGATCAAAACTGAAATAGTCATTTCGAATGCTATCTTCACATGGTCATCTGTCTATCACAATAGCATTGACACGCGCAAAATTTGTTTTTTCTTTTAGAAAATTTAAAAAATCATCAATAGAACATAGATATTTAGAATCAGAAGCAAGTTTTCATTCATTTGTGTATTGACTCTTATAGTTCACACTATTTATATGAAAAATTCGTTTCAAAATTAGAATGCGAGGCCTTCGTCTTTTTGATAACTTATTTTAAAAACTTATCGTTTAGTTAAGCGTGACTCCACAATGTGAAACAATTTCATCATGTTCATGACTTTTGAATGATAGTACTTGTTGTATTACAGGTGTGTGAAGTGTGAATAAGAATAGAAATATGTTAAGACGTAGGAACAATTGACAAGGCGAAAATAAGCTTAAAACTTGAATTGATTTTTTAAATTAATGTCTCATCGTCAACAACTCAATACATTCTATCGTCTGCATAGATAGATGGTATACGACATTCAGTTTTTTATGATTGATAGAAATTGCCATCATAACAAGCGCATTGTGATTTCATTAAGATAATACTATTGTGACATTCATACATCTAGAAATATCTTTCTCTATAATATCATAAATATCATTCATTTACTCAGAGAGGTATCAATACTATTGGACCACTCTTTATTTTAACATGTGATCTAATAA